TGTTTGGATCAGTGTTATTGATCGGTATTTAATGGATCCATTTAAATAGCGAATCGACTAAATGGCGAAACTGATTTAGAACTTCTCCAAAACACTCTCCCGTATCTACTTGACGAGGTGCCACAACAACTTAGACTGGAACATTGGTTTATGCATGATGGAACACCTCCTCATTTTAGTAATATTGTTAGAAATCTTTTAAACCAAATCACTAGGATCCAAATAAATGGATTACAACAGAAAATAATTGCCCACAAGTTTGGCATCCACGATCACCAGACTTCAACAAATGTGACTTCTTTGTTTGGAGAACGTTCCTCGCCAGTTGCGTCTCAAGCAGAATTGTGAAATCGCATTACGGAATCGCACATTCATTAGAAACAATAAGCAGTAATTGGATAGTTTTCAATTTTCGACGAACAACAAATTTATGCCTGAGAGAAACCAGTGATCAATTTGAACAATTTCTATAACTTATCACAGCAAGTTGTATGTTATTTCTGTTGTTTAAGTTGTTTGCTTTTCTATTAAATTATTCTTATTAACTTTTTCCTGATCGTCAAGTTTGACGATTAAATGCATAGCCAATTTTTGAATTTTCGATGATTTTAAATAACAGCTACAATACGTATTATTAGTTATTCGTATTCTTGTTGGAAACGACAAAGTTTTTTGAAAACTAACAAGAGTAAGAAACGTTTTAGAATAACAGTAAGATAGAACACAGAAAATACTGGACTAGTGACAATACTACCGTTTAGTTAGCAGTGATTTTCTCAAAAACGATTAGTTGTATAAAAAAAAATGTAAAGAGCTAAAATTCGTTACTGATTAGATGGTGAATAAATTTTAAAATTTTTCACTGTAAATAGTTAATAAAATTTGAAAGTATGGTGTGCATTTAATTCTTTATCAGTAAATATCTCGGAAACGGTTGGCCTGAGTGATTTCGACCAAGTATACCTTTTTTGATAGGGGAATAAACGTACTAATACGAAACGTCAAAGTACAGGGTAGCAAAAAAGTTAGGGCCAATTTAATTCAAGCGTACCCTTATAGGTGGCGCCCTCTACAAGCTACGCTAAAACCAATGACATATTTAAATTTAGCATCCTAAAAAATCCCCATACCGAAGTTTTATGCCAACATTCAAATTGGTTTGGAAATTATTCCTAAAAAAGCAAAAAAAATAATAAAATACTTTAACGTCCTGTATATCGAAAACTAAGCATTTGTGGACCCACGTTTATAAGGAAAAAAAAGTCTTATTTTGACCTCAAAAATACGCCCCTAAATTCTTTGTACTGAATTTTGAGTCCCCTGAAAACAGCTAAAAGCATATTTTGCAAAATAATTTAAAGTTTTATTGAATTTAGACTACAAATACAATTGGGATCACTTCTCAAACATAAATTTCAATTTAAATTAAATTTACTTCACTGAAATATACTATTTCATTGTAATGTATTCACTTCGTAGTATTAAGCGAAAGTCCGGTATACCCTTCTGTGATTTTTACCATGATTTTCAAAGAAAGAAAAAATTATTGGATAAACTTCAAAATTCGGTCTCTTTCGCCTCAGAAGTATAACATTTTTAAATGTTGGACTCAATAACAGGGCTTTTATTTTGAAAACTTATATATTTATAATAATAATAATAATAATATAATAATATTTCTACTCCTCATTCTAATTACGAGAGTTAGCCCAGAAGTCGGAGACTTGTGCGGGAGAGGAGGCGGCATATTATTATTACGCAGGCCGCATTTGCGCCCAGGAACGACTAATGTTGGTAAGCCCTAACCACCATTCAGTGCAGGAATGAGGGAAACCTGGAAAACCTCATTAATTAGGGGGGTGGTCAAATGCCAACCGGTGTCAATCTCTCACATTGACCCAAGCCAACATTCTTCCACCCTACCATACCTGCACAGAGAGTGCCAATCCTCCGTACAAGCATAGCTAATCTACGGTCTACCGGCCGCGGGAATCGAACCCGGGCAGAAATTTGCACACGATTAAAGGACTGACGCCTTAAACCGTGCGGCTATCGACCGATTGATGCAGAAACAATTATTCTATGAAATCTTTGTATTTATCACCAGCTTTGTGGTTATTTATAGCAATTTAATATGGGAATACTAATTACAACAAAATTTATCAATATTTTCTAGAAATACAATATTAAATACCTTGTAGGTACTTAAAAAAATTATTTACATATTTACCAATTTATACAGAGCCTTCATAAATGATTACAAGCCACGTGACCGCAATGCTCAGTCAACCAACATTTCACGGTTGGTACTGTCAACTAAAAATCATTAAATTTTTGCGACACCAATATTAGTGATTTGTTTACAGTGAACAGTGACAAACCGTTATGTCTATGGGAAAGATAATGCGATCGCTGATTGGATGAATGAAATCTCACGAGAAATTACACCAATCACCAGCGATTAAACAGAATGTTGCGTTTTAATGTAACTTTGAACGTGAAGGAAAGATAATTACTGTTCCACTGGTCACGTGGCTTGTAATCATTTATGAAGGCTCTGTACTTATGTGTAAAAGTTTGAAAATAAATTATTTTTTGTATTAATTAATGAATAAGCTTCCTCATCAGTTATCTTAATTTGAACTGAACATGTTTCGTACATTTCTAAAATATTTAATTTAAGCTTAGCAAGTAAGCCATCCTGTTGGAACCATATTTCTTCATTAGAATCATCAGATTTCTCTTCATTCGGAGATAAAAATCCGAAATCAGCTAATATTTTAATTTTTGTTATAACTCCAATTAAAATGCGTTCTTCTGAAACTGAGTAATATAGTTCTCGTATGTACTCTAACAGATAAACTTCAAATTTTGATGAAAAAAATGTTACTACTTTAAAAAACCATTGATTGCTAAAAAGTCCAAAATGCTTTTAAAATTCTCAGCAGATGAATATAAGTACACCCTTTGATACAAATTTATAGGTATTCGTATAAAAAGAAGTTTTTATACTTATCTGGATAGGCTTAATACCTTTTAAAGTAAAGTAATGGTAAAAGCTAGCCGTAAAAAATATATAATTTAAAAAATAAACAAATGTTAAAAAAAACAAAAAAATTTTGATGTGTCTGCGTTTTTCACAACTTTATTCCTTTTGTTTCCTTATGTCTCTTACACACTAAGTTGTAGAAAAATTAAGAGGATAATTTATTAATAATAAACATTTGCAGACAGATACCTACTGTCAATAATTTTTCATTTCCATTTAAAATCGTTGCTTTCAAAAGATCGCCGTTTCATAATAACTTTGGGAAACGAATACCACATCAAATATGTTTTTATATAAATTTATTAAAATAACAAAAAGCAAGTAAAGCACAAATAAATTAAGTCTTAGGATAACTAGCATACAAATAGATAATTACAAAAACTCGTGGTTATACCAAGACTGTGCAAAAATGTATTACCTTAGGTACCTAAGCTATTCTTTTTCAAAATACTTATATATTCAAAATATGTTTTCTACCGTAACCTACAAGCTTCTTATAATATTATTAATTAAATAAAAACTATACTACATGTGTTAAATTACATTTTTTTAAACATAGACAATTTAATTTAAAAAATACATATACCTATCACAGCCCCATTCAATAATCGCTTATTCTATTTTTTAACATACATAAAATCTAATTCAAATCTATTTTTTCAGTGTCAAGACCAACACTGGATAAATATGATTCAAATTACAATCAGGATTACACAGACTTAATGCACATAAAAATTTTTAAAAAATGGCAAGTGTTTCCCAATTTCCTTTTTTTAAACCCGTACAATGTTTCCAAAAAAAAAAAACAACATTTTCTTGGTAGTTTCCAAATACACTACACCTTTTTACGTAACTGATTTTTGTTACATAGCACCAACACACAAATAAATAGAAAGAATTAATAACAGTAAAAAAAAGGATCAGGGAGATCAACTTGAAAAATTGTAGCATATTAATATACCAAGGCAGCCCCAAGTTTAGTAAACATGAAAATGATAGTACTAGCACAAAATTTAAGGTGCTTTGACTTTAAGTTATATAGTAAAAATACAAGTTAATATAAACTAAATAGCAAAACACATACTTTGAAACTTTTTTTATAAGGACAACGAAAATCACCATTAAATACCCTGTATATAATTTCCTACATGTGCTACACACATTCTATCACACATTTATTTATTTGTTTATTTATTTATTTATTTATTTATTTATTTATTTATTTATTTAGTTATTTATTTACAGTTTAGGGAAAGCTACAGGTTTTAAACCCACAACAGTTTCTACCAATTTGTTAATAAAAGATGGAAAATATCTTATTCTAAAATACATAAAAAACATAACAATTTAGTTGATCAAAACAGAGTGAACACAGTACCTACTACAAAATAGACATATACACACACACACTACACACACACAAAACAGTTCAATTTAAATGAATTAAAAAAAAAATAAAATAAAAAAGAAAGACAAGGCGCACAATTACATTTCTAAACGTTTAACATAATTTTCAAAAGTATAAAATGATAATGACAGTACACATCCATTTGATAAATAACTGTTAAAGGACGACGTTATTCTACCTAAATTATTTATACCTAAATTAGTTTTTCAAAAATTTATATCGAATAAATAATTATTTCTAGTATTTATAGATGGAACGTGAAAGTTTAACAAAGATAGAAGTTCAGGAGAATCGATCAAGTTGTTGAGCAATTTGAATAAAAATAAGAGGTCTGACTGAAATCTTCGGCTCGCTAGCGTAGTTAATTTAAATGTTTGTTTTGTCACTGTGATATTAGGAACATTAATGCCANCCAAAATAATTTACCTCGGAAATTATTCAGAAATTTCCAGACTTTTTGGACACCCGGTATAATTATATATTGCTGCAAAATCTATGTATAACTTTAAGAAACATACATTTTTTATTTATTTATTTATTTATTTACAGTTTAGGGAAAGCTACAGGTTTTAAACCCACAACAGTTTCTACCAATTTGTTAATAAAAGATGGAAAATATCTTATTCTAAAATACATAAAAAACATAACAATTTAGTTGATCAAAACAGAGTGAACACAGTACCTACTACAAAATAGACATATACACACACACACTACACACACACAAAACAGTTCAATTTAAATGAATTAAAAAAAAAATAAAATAAAAAAGAAAGACAAGGCGCACAATTACATTTCTAAACGTTTAACATAATTTTCAAAAGTATAAAATGATAATGACAGTACACATCCATTTGATAAATAACTGTTAAAGGACGACGTTATTCTACCTAAATTATTTATACCTAAATTAGTTTTTCAAAAATTTATATCGAATAAATAATTATTTCTAGTATTTATAGATGGAACGTGAAAGTTTAACAAAGATAGAAGTTCAGGAGAATCGATCAAGTTGTTGAGCAATTTGAATAAAAATAAGAGGTCTGACTGAAATCTTCGGCTCGCTAGCGTAGTTAATTTAAATGTTTGTTTTGTCACTGTGATATTAGGAACATAGATGCCATTTATTCTAAAATTTAAGTAACGGGCGAATATGTTTTGCAATATTTCTAATCTAAGTTTGTATATGTTATAAGTGGGGTTCCAGAAAATACTCTCAAAATTTAACCTACTGTAAATATGAGCATAATACAAGGATTTTATTGACTTTACGTGCCCAAAATCATTACATGTTCTTATTATAAAACCTAACATTTTATTGCACTTGTTGCAAATATGATCTATATGTGGACCAAAACTCATCTTACTATCAAATAACACTCCTAAACATTAACCTATGCACTATTTTTATAAAATAATTAGCATCAAAAACATAGTTTTTCGTGAAACTAATACAATAAAACTTTGCTATGTTTAAAGTTAATTTATTGTTTGTGCAGTACCGGACAATACTATTCATGTCAGTTTGAATTAGTTGAATATAAAAGGAACCTACAATAATGAATAAAATTACCAATAGTATTAATATATATAAGAAATACTAACGGACCTAAATGTGAACCTTGTGGCATACCAGGAGTTATAAATATTGGGTCAGATTTGAAATTATTGACTAGAACTATTTGAGATCTATATATAAATGAGGCAAACCAAAGCAACAGATCACCATGTATACCGATATCCGCCAATTTAGCTATCAAAATATTGTGATCAATTTTATCAAAGGCTCACAAGGTCCACAACACTACGAATGTATTCATTGTAACATAATTAGATTGATTTTTTAGAAAAGAAGCCATGTTGTTCAACCATAATAGCGTATTAAAAAGACTATCGTATATAATCGATTCAAATAATTCACTAAATACATCCTATTACTTATACTTCTATAATTATTAACGCAATTTTTATCTTCTGAATTTTTATATATAGGAATTAAATAAGCTTTCCATAAAGTTGGAAATTTCCCTAGATTAAGAGATTTATTAAATATTAATGACAGAGGTACATGCAAAGCCGGGGCACAGTTTTTTACAAAAGCAGGTAAGCCATCAACTCTAGCTCCTTTATTTGGATTTATATCATCCACTTTATCTAATAACAAATACTCTGTTATTTGTACTAAATAAATACTATTACATCCATTCCTATTTGCGCAATTATATATTTGAAGTGGTTTTTGTACTATAATTCATAAACACTTTGAAAGTAAGATGAGAAAAGGTTACATACATCAGGACCATTATGAGCATAAACACCATTGAAATGCGTAGAGTTGGATATGTCAAAATCTTTTCTAGAATTTGATATAACATACGTACATACATACATAAACAATTAAGTAGTAACAAGTTACACAGTTACGCATTAAGAATATAAAGTGTGCACCTACAAATCCAATTATAATCCATAAGTCCTTTTTATTTACAATATATGCTTATAAGCACATAGGCATAATTTAATTAGGTATATGTAAGTATTTTGATGACTAGTTATCGAGCTAGTTATTCCGATCTAAATGAAAACAATGCAAAAAGAAAATCATTTTTAAACTAATTGATTTTTCATTTAATTCCTTATTATTTACTTCTGATTGTTACGAGACAATTAGAAGAAATAACGAATGGTAGATCCTAGTGAGAAATATACAAGTGAATGCAAGAGAATCCAATAACCTTATGAAGCCGCTGGATTTTCCCGCAGCAGAATCTTTGGTTCAAATAAATTTTTTGTAGGCAATTTTTAGGCTTTTATAGGTTACTAAATTAAATTTATTTAGTAATCTAAAGCATTTTAGTACTGAAAAGTAAGTAAAACGAAAACATAAAAATACATACCTATCTAATGCAGTAGCAAATTAAACTGTATAATAAGATTAATGATGTTTTTCCTGGAAAACGATTTATGACGAAAAACGCAATCTCCAAAATTGAAATCCTAATTATCTTCTAAAAAGATAAGTATTGTATTTTACCACTTATATTTTTGTCATTCAGTATATTTCTAGTTTACTTCTTCATTTAAAGTACTTATGCACTAAATGATATTTTTCGAGCTGTATATTAAGTAAAATAAAAAAAGGTAATTTTGGTGAACTATTTCTATAAAAATAATTTTTATGTTGTATTTAGCTATTTACACCCCCCGAACTCATTTGCTATAATATTATTGCTATAATATTATGTCAATGAATATAATAATTTACAAGCATACAGGTATTCTAATGACTGATTTCCTATTCAATAGGTGTTTATAAATATCAATCTAATCATATAAACATAGCTATAACTAGTAGTATGATAAGGACGACGGCATATATTCTATGTAGAATTTTCATAAAATCATAATTGTTTTCGAGTTTTCTGCTGCATGTAGATTAAGAACATTTAAGATGCCGATGGTGGATTGCTGCTACCATCGTCATCTTCAGTCTCCTGTCTGAATCGGGTTTGTTGTGAAGTGGACGTTATGACACTGGCTTGTTCTACTTCTGCAATTACTGGTTGCAGCGGTGGTATGCTGAAATAAACAAAACGAAAATAAATTTTATGTGCCGGCATTAATATCTTTTTACACCGAATCATATTCGATGTGGACGCCCATTATGTATCATCTTTTTTTATTTAAAAAAAAATATATGTAGTGTGCGTCGTGTTTGAGAAATTTTGGAACCGCCAATTGGACACTAAATTTAAAAGTTGGAGTAAGGTGCCTACCTTACAAAGCTAAATTTATTAATTTAAAAAACAAAGATCGTCTACTAAAATTTCAATCTCAGGTATGTGTGTAATGGTAAATACAGGGTGTTCCACCTAAGAGGGATTCTTCTATAACTCTGTAACTGTAAAATTTATAAAAAAATAGTTTTAATAAAATTTATCTGGAATCATGTGGACCATGTAAAGAAATGTCCGACCATGTCCTCGTTTTTTCAAGTGTAGCCCCCTTCCGCACAAGCCTTTGGCTTTTCGATTTGGGGGTTGTCTCATTTCTGCGGTGTGTTTTATGTTTTATGTAAAGAAAATATTTTAGCGTTACAGGGTGTTTCATTTCGCGTGGGCGCTACATAACTTTGTTATTTTGAATGAAACATATTATTGTGTTTTTTAATTCCTTGGTTAATACTAGGTAAGGTTTATTAAGTGTACATTGTGTTTAAATCTTACCGTTTTCAAGATAATCAGTTGTTTTTGAAAAAAAATCACAATTTCAGTCTAAATGAGGCTAGATATCGTCTAAACCGTAAGAGCTAAAAACCTGCAGTTTTCACAGTTCGTTTTTAGCATAAATTACTCTATCTTGTCATCTGTGAGCAAAACGTGTACGGTATTCAGACTCGGAAATACTGAAATAATGTAGGTCACATTTAATAATCCTACGAGTTGAAAAACTTTTTTTTTCACATGGAATAACCCATATTAATTGGCATGGGTGAATGAAAAATTAAATGCCCTTTCGAAGATATAAGGTTGTCCATACTTATCTTTAACAGTTTTCCAGAAAAATCAGGTTATTTTCTAAAGTCCGAAAAAGTAACTATGTAACAGCGTCAAGAAGGCCTTGCAATTGTATTAGTACAACGCCGATACATAGGATTTTACAAAAGCACAGCATAGTTTATCCTGATCGCATCCAATTACACCAAGAGTTACTAAAAGTAGACTTTCAGCGGAGACTGGAGTTTTGTCAGTGCGCATGAGATATTAAATCATCTTGATGATGATTTCTTTAAATGGGTCATGTTCTCCGATGAGGCTAATTTTCAAAAAAATCGTTTCATTAATAGTCATAGTTGCCATTATTATGACACCTCACCAATTCCGGACAACTCATAGCCAACTATGGTCTTTGAACGGGTGGGGAGCAATTTTGGGAACCCATGTCGCTGTTTATTTATACTTTTTAACAAACACTCTAGAAGATTTGTTAGGCGACAATCCTTTAGCATCCACCTCACAATACCGCTGCAGTTCATCAGTTTTTACACGAAACTTTTCCTAACAGATGGATCCAGGTGTCCAAATATTACAAGTTGCGACTTCTTTTTATGGGGATTTATAAAAAGCAAAGTTTACGTTACCACCAACTACCGCGGAAGATATGTGGCAGCGCATTACAGTAGCATTTCAAGAAATTATGCCAGACATGCTGACCAATGTTGAAGTCTTTTAAAAACCGAATTCGTTTGCGTATTAATTAAAATGGAGGGCACTTCGAGCAAATTGATATAAATCAGGGGTCTAAGTATTCTTCTCCTTGTGTTCAAAGTTTCAGTTTGTTTCGTTTTGCATTTTGTTTTAGTTGTTGTTAGTGGTTTACTTTTGTTTGTCAAATCACTTTTTAAACATGCCAGTAAATATTGACACTGTCAGTCCCAGACCTAATAAAATGTGAGAGAAAAGTGGTTTTGCAAGGCCTTCTTGATGCTGTTACATAGCTAATTTTTCGGACTTTAGAAAAGAACCCGATTTTTCTGGAAAACTATTAAAGATAAGTATGGACAACCTTATATCAGTCGAAAGGGCATTCAATTTTGTATTCAGCCATGACAATTAATATGGGTCATTCCATTTGAAAAAAAAAAGTTTTTCAACTCGAAGGATTATTAAATGTAGGTCTCAGTATTTCCGAGTCTGAATAACGTACACGTTTTGCTCACAGATGACAAGATAGAGTAATTTATCTCGTAATCCTAATGGCTATTATTGTTTTTAATTAAATAAATTCATTATTCAAAGTAAACCTTTTTTAAAACTTTTTTTATATATCTTCAACATTTAAACTCCCTCAAATAGTATATCACTCGAGCTACTTCGCTCTAAATTCGCTCTAAATTCGAACCTCTAGAAACATATTTTTTTCAGAAATTTCTGAAATCATTTAAAATATATCTAGTTGGCAGATTCATCTAAAATTGCCATTATTTTATAAACTGTAGCATCAAATATAAAATAAGAAAAAAGTAATCTCAAACATTTTTCGTTATACCTCCAATATTTGAAACCTCATTGTAAGCTTAGAATAGCTTTTAATATTTTAATGTTTTATTAATCCAGTGTCACTTACTTTATTTAGATAAGGTGATAACAAATTGTTCATTTAAAGCGTTCTGTCATATTAAAATCATTGAATTTCAAGGACTAGGAGCTTGGGTCCCACATGTTTTGAACAAAAAGGGTAATAAAGCCGGGTCCAGACGCTAGGCTTTGCACAACGTTTTATCTGCGCGGTCACAAAACGGAATGAAAACGTTGACAATCAAGAGCGTCCACACGGTGCGGATACGTCTATATTTATTTACACATTTTCGCGGAATCGACCGTGGACAAAGTACTGCTCCGGTCAATTTTTGTAAGAAAAAAATACATATTTTTTACTGTTTCTCTATTTGCTGCAGTTTGAACCTCTGAACTTTTTCAATTAAAATTTCATATGCCTGGCTCATTTTGTTTCAGTCACCATATTCCGTTAATTTCACATGCCAAAAAGATAGAAAACTTTCATACAAATCAATAGATTCACGGGAACGTTGACGAAGATCTGGCGACAATTTACCTATTCAAATGGTAAAACGTATCACAAAACGGACTGAACGTCTACACACACCGATTTATTTACGCAATTAGTGGATAACTATGCTCATCGCCTCAGTCTTGTCTGCAACGTCTTGAATTGCGCAGGTAAAACGTTGTGCAAAACCTAACGTCAGGACCAGACTTAAGAATAAACGCTCCACAATTGCCGCTGGTTTGCTCTGTCGTCATCGATCAACACGTGGTCATAATCGTATTGTCACAGTTGATGAAAAAAATGGTGTCTGTACGTGAACTTGAAACATGCGTTTGGTGGGATTAGAAAGCAAAGGGATTCTTTATTACGAACTCTTACCAAATAAAAAAACCTTCAACACAGAACTCTATGTCCAACAACTATGCGACTCCACGCGGTTATTCAACAAAAGAGGCGATACGACATTTTTTTGCAACATGACAATACGTGATGACATATCACCAATATGAGCAAAACGGCCATTCGGGAATTGAATTTGGAAGTTCTGCCCCACCTGCATTACTCTCCTGATCTCGCGCCTTCTGATTTACATCTCTTCCGCTCTTTGTCAATCTCCTTACCCGGTGTTTCTTTCAACAACGACAATAAGTTAAGAGCTTGGTTAGAGAGTTTTCAAGTCAAAGCCGGGGGATTTCTACAGAAGAGGCATCGAGAAACTTGTTGAACGTTGGGAGGAGGTCACAAATATCGATGGAGTGTGAATAGGATGATCAGTGATGTATTCATCACTGATTGATATTGATAATTGTAGTTAAAAATAAAATATCTTGGAAATTGGAAAAAAGTCGGACATTACTTATTCCCCAACCTAATACATTTTCGTGTAGTATTAATTTCTGATAATATACACTTTTTTACGATACTAATCAATTTAGAGCATACGGATGCAATGATTTTCAAATTATGCAATTCAGAAAAAATATATGCCATCTCGTCCCAGACTTCCCTAAAGCAATTTCATAGAAATTTGTTAAGTATATTGTATTTTCTAAATATGCGAGCTGATTTTAAAAAATATAAAAAACGTATATTCGCCGTTTTAATTTTTTTAATGTTCAACATGGAAAAATGTGTATAAATAACTAAATACATAAAAACTGTATTGTGCATTTACAAAAATTTGTATAGATACCTTTGGTCTACAAAGATACGATGCAGCATCTCAAAATAGGCAATTATTTATACACGCTCGTACTGTGTGAAGCCTAAGATGTAGAACGATTTTACATCAACTAACAAGCTTTGACTAGAGTGTATATAGTCATGGGTACAAGGTAACAATGGCAAATAAATGTGAAGTAAATACGTACTATTTATTATAAGATTATTATTATTAGGTATTATTATCCATTTATATAACTTATCCTACAACTTCTGCAATATGTACGTATTATTTTAGTAGTTCATTGCATTATTTGTCTTTGTATTTCAAGTAATATTTCATTATTTGCTTAAATATTTGAATATCATAAAACAGTTCTTTAAATTTTAATTTGTAAGACTTACATAAAACAAGGCCATATGTTTTTTGAATTAGTATTGTTTCATGAAGTATTTATTAAGAACTAAAATCATATTTATTTAGAGATAGTAGTTTATATTTTCCTAAAATATTTCGCGAAATCATGGAACGAACTGTTTTATCCAATTGAATGTATGTTTTGAAATTTAGTAACACTCTTGTAAGGGGTGAACCAAGTTCAACAGTTTTTAAGTTAAGAAGTTAAACCGACGATGTGGTAACGAGAGTGGAAACTGTTCGGCCACTGACAACTGCAAAGGAAGCTTGCAAACCAAGCTAGTAGATAAAATTTGAGCGAAACTGCATCTCGATATTTTGATGCATTTAAGAGATACAGGGTGTTTTTAATTTTTACCCATTTATATAGTTGTGTTATAAACTTTTCTCTTTGATTTTATAAAAAGTTTTTTATGCTTTTTTCGTGTAAAATCCAGTGACGTACATGATTTTTTTTTCTATAACTTTTATTTTATAAGTTGCAATTCATATTTTTTAAACGTGATACTCTATATTTTAAAATCGATTTTTGAAAGTTGCGTAAAATTTACTTCAGGCTTTTTTCGAAAAACATAAGGGAATATGTAGTAATTTGTAGAAAATTGAATGATAAATCCGAAAATATCATAGTTGTTACCGTAAAGCAGTGGCGTATTATTTTATTTAGAAAAATATGCCACCGATACCCTGCATCTCCGCCTCTGGAGCATGTAAACTTTAGGAAAAGCCCTCAGATTTTAGACAATGTTTACATAAATACATGTGCCCAATTTCAAATTATTTCACTTACTAGTTTTTAAATTATTTAAAAAAATTAAAAATATTTTTTTAAGTTTCACACCCTGTATCTTTTTAACGAAACGTTCCAGATAAAAACTTTATAGGAAAGACTCCCCTTAAAATTCACCAAAGAATTTTTTCATTTTTGGTCACCATTTGTGAATCACCCTGTATAAATATATATTTTTTCTCTAATATTCTAGAGATCAATATTTCACAAAAATTTGAAAGCAAATTGTAAAGTTGGAAATGAAACAATGTCAGCCGCCCCATACCCCCCACTCAACATGTGGAATAATATTACGAACATTAGAGTCCAGATAGTTTAGGTTTAAACTATGAATAAGATATATCAGAGGACTTTTCAGACAATCAAAAAAATCTACCATCGCTTTTAATAGGGAAAAAGTTGATATAAGAACGTAACATTATTCGTCCTAATAATATCGGGAAAGAATTTTGTATAATGTTAATAAGAATCAAGTAGTACAACTTTGGCTCATACTATGTAACTAACTATTAAAATTAAATGAATAAGGAAAAGAACATACCACTTACTTGGAAAGGTGCCGGCTTAGCTGTTCCACAGTAAATTGTCTGTAAGCTTGCGGTTGCTGCTGTTGCTGCTGGTATAATGTTGCTGTCATTGGCAGCTGATATTGATCGGGTGGCAGTTCGATTTCTTGAGCATTATAATTGTACTGCACAGCTGAAATGTAAATAATTTATTTTCAAGTATACAGCTTGACCAAACTCATCGTGTCCACGAGATGCGTAGATCAAGATCATTGGCGGTATGAATGACAGACACATGAGATCTTAGTAGGTCAGGTACCGTCCGCACAAAAATTTTAATTAGGTCTAATAGATACAGTTATACACTATGCGGTCTGTTCAGATAATAACATAACTTTTTGAATTAAGCGCTAATGGAGATATTTTGTGATATGCGGTTGGCAGCATTGCGTTGCTCATAACCTCCTCTGTAACCACATGTTTTTGGATTAGTGATACCTCATTTAGTGATATTGTTATTTGAGTACAACCTGTTTAAGCGTTAGTGACGATTTTTGTAATGTGTGATTTCCTTCAACAACGATGCAATGTAAAATTTTGCGTGAAATTGGGGAAACTTTCACGGAAACGTTACAACTTTTGAAACAAGCTTACGCAAATAATATTCTGGGTAGTAGGCAGTGTTAAGAATAGTTTTCACTATTTAAAAGTGGTCGTCAGTCAATTGAAGATGATCGTCGGCCAGGAAGGCCTTCAACTTCAACTGATGACTCCCACGTTCAGAAAGTGAAAGATCTGGTATCTGAAAATCACCAACTGACTGTCAGAAATATTGTATAAGAGGTTACCATCTCAGTTGAGTCATGCCATGAAATTTTGAGCGAAAAATTGAACATGCATCGAGTTACAGCAAAATTTGTTCTTCGTTTGACAACCGAACAGAAAAAAATCGTGTAGGCGTTTGTCGGTAATTCCTTGAACAAACCAATGATGATAAAACAGACGAAGGCCTTTCTGGTCAATGATCATCTTCAATTGACTGACGTCCACATTCGTAACAGTGCGTACCTACGACTCAGAACATCATCTTCATAAGCTTGTTTCAAAAGTTGAAACGATTCCGTGTGAAAGTTTTCCTCAATTGCACGCAAAAATCGTCACACTTAAACATGTTGCAGCCAAATAACAATATCACAAAAGCTAAATGAGATATTAGTAATCCAAGAATATGTGGTTACAGATTAGATTATGCGCAATGTAATGCTACCAACCGCATGTCACTAAATATCTCCATTAGCGCGTATTTAAAAAAGTTCGATTTTTTTCTGAACAGACTTCGTATAATACTTGAAAAATTGTTTTATTGTGCAATTCAATTAAATTATAAATATATTTATCTACATATATGCATAATAAATTATAATTTCTTGTAAAATTCTAGTGATGTGAAAGTATTTTTTAGATAAATATCATGTAGGTATACATCATTTGCATAGGAATATTAGACAGATTGCAAAAAAATCGAAAAACATATAGGGTGGACTCCAGGACGAACTAGATACATAAAAACAGAGTAAGTTGGCGTTATAACTGAAAAACCAGACGTATAGAAAAAATACTACGCCACTGAATTATACGCAAATAGGTTTTATCTTGCTTAAAAGATTTTAAACTAATTCAAATTAATTCTACACATTTTCCTAAAAATCTTATCAAATAAAGTCATATAATGCTCTTTGATACCAAAAGTCCAGGTATTCTAAAGAAACTTAATAGTAACTATTACTTATTTATCATAAAATCATTAAATAATGTCAACTTTAAATTGCTTTGAGATCTGACTTATTTGTGCGTTTTATAAGAAATATTTTTTTTAAATGGTCTCGTTTTTAAATGGAATTAATAAATGTCTGAATATTAATAGAATTAAAATATATACAAAACAGAAAACTTCTAGATAAAACAAGATAGGAATATTTTAACAGTCAATAGGAATTAGCTTAATACTTTTAAAATAGAGTAAAAAAAGTGCAATGGATTTCAGTCCGCTTGTAACAACTACCCGTTATTACGACGTATCACTTTCAATGACTCAGTTTTGAATTGTGTTGTTCAGTTATTCCATTATTATGGTCTTGTGCGGAGCCTTCATAAATGTTTACAAGTCACGTGACCACCGAGTTTAGGCAACCCAACAATATACGATTGGTACTGGTAACGAAAATTTCCTAAATCTAGGCGTCACCAATATTAATGACTCGTGTACAATGAACAATGACAAACCGTTACGTCTACGCTCGAGATAATGCGATCGCTGATTGGTTGAATAGAATTTCGTGAAAAGTTACGCCAATCACACCCGATGAAACAGAATACTGTGTTTTAATGTAATCTTGATCATATTGTTTTAAAATTTATTTGCCAACGAGAAGAAAATAAAATTACTGTTCTAAGCAGAATTACTGGTCACGTGGCTTGTAATCATTTATTAAGGACCTGTATAACAAAAACATTTAGCCTACCATGTTTTGCATATGTTATAGTCCACGGGCCCACATACAAAGAAAAAATGAATACCAGCAAGCTGTAACTTTGCGTGCAGCTTAAGTTTGACGAGTCTCCCAAGATTTGACTATGAGGAAAATTCAACAGTGGTAAGTTTTCCCGTGATTTTCAGGAAAACATGTCAATCTGGCATAAACATGGAATGTTATGACCAGCACTTTTTTTTAAGTTTAAATGAAAGATATATTTTTTTTAAACCCCCCAAAAAATTTGTCCGACAAAAATGTTGGTATTTTGAGTTTGTCCCCCACCCCAAATATGTCGATTTGGTGACATTATGGTTGGTGACAACCAGCAAGCTGATTTTTCTGGGAGGGTTTGGTAATAAGATTTGAAATGAAAGTATCTTATTGTCCGACAAAATTCTTGAGAAGTTTTTGCAGTCCGACGCCCCGAAGATGTCGACTTAACGACAACATGGTTGGTGATAACCAGCAATCTGGTTTTGATTTTTTTCTCTAATAATTGAAATGTATAACACAATAATATACTTGTCCGCCAAAAAGATTGGAAAATTTGCCTTAAAAATGGGAAAAATAACTATTTTTGTGGTACCTAATGTTCATTCCGCTATAAAATAATTAATTTTTTAATGAAAAAATAAAGAAGAATAAATAAGAAAATTATCTTGTTAACAGGAGCAACAGAAATTGAAATTCATAAATAATTATGTCTAACTAATTTAATTAATCTCCATCAAAATGATTTCTTTGTTCAAAAAACTTATATGTACATTTTATTTTATAAACTATTGTAACTATTTTATAAAAAATGGTAACTGTACAATGAATGCATAAATTTTTGCTTTTGTTTTTTTAAATTAAAATTTGCAATCTTGTTTTGACAAACAGTTTACACATAGTTTTGTTCTTGAAAAAACAATTAAACCAATTTTAAACCAATTTTAAAAATATTATTATACATTTATCAACGCGTTTATTAAAAGATTGTCTTGTTGTAAAGTATAAATCCTTAATGCGAAATGACTTTGCAGCATTTAAAACCTGCTGCCAAAGTTCTTAACAGGTGTTTATAGTTTCTCCATAAACAACTGATTTCATGTAACCCCAAAAACGGAAGTCTCGGCATTCCATCTCACATTTATGTACATACAATTTAAATTAAGATGTAATTTTAGGTACGAATAATACTTAATGGACAGTAGCATACAAATGACAGCAATAAGACAAGTGGAATATGTCAATTATTTGATTTTCGTCCAAACTTAAGAAACTTCACCGCTAAATTAATAATAGGTAGGTACTTCATTGTAATTTAATTCAACAGCATTGGAAGTTTCAAAGCCAAATATCTCGAAAACGGTGCGAGACAGCTAGTTTTATAAAGTGTAGCTTTTTTGTGTAAAAAAAGTTGGAAAATAAGAATTTGATACCAAAGATGAGATACCTTAAAGTATAAAAAAGTTATGTCGTTTTTAACACATTCAATCTACTGCAGCTAGCGCCCTCTATGAACTTTAACCAAAATGTGAACACATTTCAATTCCTCTACTTAAAGAACTCCAAACCTCAAAATTTTGTGTGGATATTTGCATTTGTTAAGGAATAAATGAAAAAAAAGCTAAAATATTTTACATTTAACACCCTGTATCTCTTTAACTATCAACTTTTGGACTAAGTTAAGTTCGGCTAAATCGCAATATTTTTGCTTCGAAAAACTACCCATGAATTTTGACCTATTAGCTCGGGACCACCCTGTATACAATTTTTTTTTAATTGTATAAAAATAAATTTAAATTAGTCATATTTATTTTAAAATTTGAGAAATTTAAACAAAATTTTGTTTAATTCATATATATTTTTTAATTACATATACATTTTTCTTCTACATCATGCGTAAGTATTGAAACCGCAAAATTTTATAGTTTAATTTTGTAGGACAAGCAAAAAAAAACGATAATTTTGTCGGACAATTAAATTCTCAGATTAATATTGCATTTTTTAAATAATGACGCTTTTGTCCGACAGCTGGTCATCACCAACCATGTTGTCGTTAAGTCGACATCTTCGGGGCGTCGGACTGCAAAAAGTTCTCAAGAATTTTGTCGGACAATAAGNTAATTTTGTCGGACAATTAAATTCTCAGATTAATATTGCATTTTTTAAATAATGACGCTTTTGTCCGACAGCTGGTCATCACCAACCATGTTGTCGTTAAGTCGACATCTTCGGGGCGTCGGACTGCAAAAAGTTCTCAAGAATTTTGTCGGACAATAAGAAACTTTCATTTCAAATCTTATTACCAAACCCTCCCAGAAAAATCAGCTTGCTGGTTGTCACCAACCATAATGTCACCAAATCGACATATTTGGGGTGGGGGACAAACTTAAAATACCAACATTTTTGTCGGACAAATTTTTTGGGGGGTTTAAAAAATATATATCTTTCATTTAAACTTAAAAAAAAGTGCTGGTCATAACATTCCATGGTTATGCCAGATTGACATGTTTCCCTGAAACTCACGGGAAAACTTACCACTGTTGAATTTTCCTCTTAGTCAAATCTTGGGAGACTCGTCAAACTTAAGCTGCACGCAAAGTTACAGCTTGCTGGTAATCATTTTTTTCTTTGTACGTGGGCCCGTGGACTATTACATATTCGCGAGATTTGCAGAGATGCTTTAATTAGACAATGTAATATTCTATTTAACGTAGAAAATGCCCTTATATTTTATAATTTTTGACTTATAAAACTCAACACATAGAGTCTTCAGGATTCAGATAAAAACGATGAAGTGTCAACAAAATGTAGTAGGTAGTTTTCTTTATATTTCCTGACTTAATCCAACTTAGAAAAGAAGAAATATGTAACAACCCAAATCACCAATAATTATTTAATGTAATTAAATATTATAAACAGGGTTGAATAGTTCCCATGGTTCATCGGTCGTTACGTGAGAGTGATAAAGTAAGTCATAGAAATCCGTGCGATAGACAATGATGGCTATAGTGAAGACGTTTCATAATCTGAATAGTCACCGCCCATTTCGAGTTAGAACTATTCAGATTATGAAACGTCTTCAATGTAACCATCCTTGTCTATCGCACGGATTTCTATGACTTACTTTATCGCTCTCACGTAACGGCCGATGTACCATGGGGACTTTCCGAACCTGTATGAAGTGTAATTTAAGAAAAAAACAAAATTACAAAAATAAGTAATGTTACGTTTTGGTTACACAAATTCAGCTATCGCTTTTTTTTCTTAATAGGTCTATTCAGAAAATAACAGTACTCAGTAATCTGATTTTTTGCACAAAACTCATGGTTGATCGAGGCTGACATGTTTTTTTAGGGCGTGGAGATCCTTTGTCAATCCATTGTGATGATTGAACTTTTGTCTCAATGTCGTGGCCTAGAACCATCTTTCATCACCCGTTATGATCCTTTGAATGAATGTTTCATCGTCATTGGATTGTTCATTGAGTTGTCGACAAACGTCCATACGATTTTCTTTCTGTTGTTTGGTCGTCAAATGAGGAACAAATTTTGCTGCTATTCGATATATGTTCAATTTTTCAGTCAAAATTTCATGGCCTGGATGCAATTGAGATGCTAACCTCTTCTACAATATCTCTGAGAGTCAATCAGTGACTTGCGTGCATCAGATCTTTGATTTTGTGAAAGTGGTCAGCGGAGTCAGCAGTTGAATTGAAGGCCTTCCTCATCAAGAATCGTCTTCAATTGACTGACGACCACTTTTAAATCATGAAAACCATCTCTAAACACCATCACGAAAAATTTTGCGTTGTATCGTTATACCAGAAAGTCGCACACGTTGCACTCGAATAACAATGTCACGAAAATTAAATGAGATGAAGAAATGAGAGAAGGTTATGGCAACGCAATGCTGCCAACCGCATATCACTAAATATTTCCATTAACGCGTAATTCAAAAAGTTCGGTAATTTTCTTAACAGACCTCGTACATGCAGTGGTAAACAGATTGTTGTCTTTCTAACTTTGTCTAACACAATTTATGACACACTGTTTTCTAGAAATTTACCTGAGAAACCTTCCATCCAAATTGTACAGGGATACACTATTTAAAAAAGTACTTTCAAAGTATACAGAGTGTGCAGGTAAAAGTAAAAGGGGTAGAATTTTATATGAGTTTTACTATCCTTATTAGATCGTCAGTTTAGTGCGACAATAATAACGTGAACCTACTTGTAAGTGTACGGGTGATTGGTAGGTGCAAGAGTTAAATAGTTCAATATTTTGTTAAATATCCTAACAAGGAGCATATTTACAAATATTTGAACTTTTTAAAATCTCTAATCCTGAGCCAACTGAAGTTTTTTAAATGCTAGTTTTTGAGAAATTGGATTAGTAATGGTTTTATCCCAAATCTAATGACATGACGTTATTTTGCGCCCGCTACGATATTTCCTTATTGTTGACTATTAATCGTGTAAGTTTTTTCATGCCAAAATGCAAATTGTGCTTTTGGACACAATTTCTAGAAAAAATTATTAATATCATAGAATATAAAATAATAAATATAATAATTAATTCAAATAAATCAAAATATATCAAAAACATGTAGGTACATTTCCAAATCTGCACATATAATTGAACAATTAATAGATCTAATATAAACCGAGACAAGAAGTGAGAATAAAGTCGTGTTAAATTTCACTCAAAAAACTTCTTAATACATTTATTGAAGAGTAGTAGCAAGCTCAGGATTTGAAATTATAAATCATAATCATAATTTGCAAATATAGGTCTATTAAAAAAATATTAAAATTATTTTCTTTGCAATTATTGTATTAGTGACCCGTATAACTATAAGTCGGAGAGGGTAGTCTTGAACGATTAATAAAAAAAAACGGTGATATTGTGTTTGAGAATGCAGTGAATAGTGCTAAGGACGAGTATATTAAAAACACCCTGTGTCTGTTGCTTTACTGCCACCGTTTTCAATTATTGGTGTTATAGTTGGCAATACTAGCTGTTCCTATCAAGCTTTTCTAAACTTCAGTGGATGATATTTTCATTTGAATATAAGTATACTTAAAAAAACGGGTTCAGTCAAACAAATATTAATTTTGTTTTTGGTAGTGGAATATATAAAAAAAATGTTTCGCATCCAATGACGTTGCCCTTTTTCCATTTTTATAATTTGTTTAAAAATGCGTATTGATAGATAACATATTCAACCTGGTAAAGGGTCCTAAAATACCGGCCTTCGGTATAGTCAAATAACGTTTCCATTGAGGTTTCCATGAAAAAGGTATTAAAGTAAAAATAAACCACTAAATATTATTTGGTTAGTTCCAATATAGGTAAGCATACACTTTCATATAATACTACATGTCATGTCTTATCAATACCGTATTTATCAATATTTACAAAGTGCTTTAATTTTATCTATCCACATCAACGAACGTCATGATGCAGACATCTATATTAAAAGCCTCACAGCAAAACTAGTTTTATTGCTTTTTACAATGAAGTAAATCCCGTGGGAATAAAAAAAAAGTGATAAAATCAGCTTCCATCTTGAAATATTCGAATAATAATATAATTGTAAAAACATACAACATACAGTTTCCTATAAATGTAGCAAATTTTTAAATTTACGTGTTTGAAATATTCTACATATCCTTGGAAATGACCTTTTAGTAGAAAATTTGGTTTAAAAACCTTCGACTTATTACACGCTGAGGGAAATTAGTGACTTTGTTAGTAAAAGTGTTAATGGTGAAATATGAGACATGATAACTTACGTATTCTTTGCAGATGGTGACTTGAGGCTGAAGCGTTTGCAGCAGAAGAATTCTTTGGTCTTCTCTTACGGGTCTGAATTCCATCTTTCTTCATACTCAGTGGCCTGTTAACCTGTAACGATAAATACGTTTCAGATTATCGTTCCACACTAATATTATGAATGAAAATTATCTTGGAAACGTAACAGATAGTATATCTTGTATTTACAAGAGATTTTTGTTGTTATTACTCCTCTGTATCAAAAAAGATAAATTTTGCATATCAACCCCGGATAAACTGATATTTTGGAACAATTGAGATACCACCTATCGTATAAATATTAGGGCTATCTTAGATTAGTGACAGACGGCTTGTCTGTTTGTCTGCATTTTTAATAAAAATTATCTAACACCTGTAATTATGTTACATAAAATACATATTTTTATCAATTTTCATTCACAGGAAACTTTTTTCTCTCCGATGCCTGTTGATATTAGAGTATGAGTAACTATATTAAGTAAACCATATATGTACCTGCGCTACGTGCCACGTATGTTTTAATATTCACAGTTTTTATTTGTAATCTGACTGCTAAAATTCCAGTCTTTTAAGAGAAACGTTTTCAAGTGTAAACAGCAAAAATTGTAAGTAAAAATCTTAAAAATATTGCCTGATGTTTCTAAATTTTTAAGTATCGAGAACAAATTTATTCAAAGTGGCCTTACACTAAAATAATATGCTGATTTAAACAATAAGTGAAAATATTATTTGTTTAAACGTGCAAGCAAGCGAATCCGTGGATTTTGTCACATAATCCATTAAAATATTTTTCAGATGCATTTTTTCCTCTACCTTATCTTATCTTTCATTCAATTATAATTTAGTTGTAAACGTAACACGCAATAAGATTTTTATAATTATGTGATTCAGCAACATTTATAGTCCAGTCGGCAGAGGCCGAAAAGTTACTGTTGGTGACATTTCCTTGATAACTCGGAAATAACTACACAGGAATACTTTAAATGATGAGTACAATAACAGGCTAATTTGCTGACAAAGTATTTTATCAGGAAAAAAAATTATTAACAATTTAATCGTGAAAATTTTTTTTTTAGTAGTTTTCTTTAAATAACTCAGCTTGATCACTTTGTACGAAGAAATGCTTAGGACATGATTTTGTTCGTAATAAAAATAGCTACAAAATGGCGGTGGCGATTACGAAATTTGCAATAACAAAGCCGTGAGATTGAAAAAACTGTATAAAACGTCATTTTTTTAAAGTTGCTGTAAAAATGTCAATTATAAACAAAAAGTGATAAAACTCGAAAATTATTGTTCAATATATACACAATAATGACGCTAAAGCCGAAAATAAGGAGAGCAAAACTTTTTGTTCTATAAGGCGTTATACATTCATCGGCATCTGAAACTCGAAACTTTGCCAAATTTGTTTGAAGTTTTGCTGACACTTAATATTTGGTATACACATTGTGTAAATATGCAGAAACCAAAAGCAATTAGCAAAATTCAATTATCTTCATTTTTGCAGCTTTGGTAAGGTTTTATATGTCACCCTCTTAGTTTTATACGTCACAGTTATTTTTAATTTTTTGAAAAATATATATGTATATTTATAAAATATTCCATCACGGTAGATTAACCAGCACAATTACCTACAATTAAAAAAAATTATTTTCATCGTTTAGATCCTAGCTACTTAACATTTTGCGCCTGTTAGCCGTAGTCGTACATTATTCAACATATCAACATAAAACAAAATCGTACGTGTGAGATAAACCTTTAACTTTTCATTTTCGAGCGCGAGCTCCGCTCTTCGGCCCTTGTATTCTATTAGAAATATGCAACAGTTTTAAACAGTTGTTTACTTAAAGTTAAAGGTTTACCCCACACGTACGTTTTTGTTTTATGTTGATATGTTGAATAATGTAGGTACGAGTATGGCTAACAGGCGCAAAATGTTAAGTAGCTTAGCTTAGGATCTAAACGATGAAAATATATATATTTTTTAAATTGTAGGTAATTGTGCTGACTAATCTACCATAATGGAATATTTTATAAATACGTATAAAACAGAGACATTTTCAGATACACGATAAAAACTTGTGTAGTTAATTTACAAAGAATCGCATTATAGTTACTTATTTTAAAAATACATAGATGTTATTTCTATACATTTAAGAAGAAATTTGCACCCTCAGAAATATAGGTAGTCATATAATCACTGTCTTTCTGATATTATTAAGTAGTGGAAATTACTGGACGATACTAATGAATGAAGACAGATTCATTTATAATACTTTTTAGTTTTTAGTGTTAAAAAACTTGAAGTTCTAATTTATACTAACATTTCTCCAACTATGTACTAGGTACGTATTTTTGTTGGAACTAACTTAAAATATTAGAGCATACTACTTCAATAATAAACCGTAATTAAATACGTAATTTAAAAAATACTTACACTGTGTAATTTATAATACAGTCCGCAGGCATTACAAACTGGTTCCCCCTGATTGTTTCTTCTCCACAGGGTAGTATTTTGGGTTTTGCAGTTGGCACATGATATTCCATTTCTTCGATTCCCAGTCTAAAAATTCGCATATTAGGGACTGATCGGCAGAAAAAATAGAATATTATTTTGTAAGTATTCAATATATGTATTTCCTGAAATAATGGACCCGACTGTTAATCTGTCTCGACATAAAATCAAGTAAGTTATGAGTGCAATAAAAATACAAACAACTGAAATATGTGCAAAATCATTTGACACAAAGCTAGAACTGTAAAAGGTCGTAATATATTAATCTCAAAATAACCAAAGGCGTATTCTATTTTAGGAGACAGTGTAAAAAACAGAAAATCTTGTGTGATCACTTAATATGCTTTATAACACTAGTCTTATCAACGCTGTACTCGACCTCATTTCGAGTTGAGTACACAATGATATCATCGGTAAGTATCAAGGTGAGGAAAAATAATTTTTGGTATACTTTCTTGACAAATATTGGTGATAAGATCGATGACATATTTTAAGCTATGAATTGGAAACGAAATGTCATGCAGAGTACCGCCTAGCAACAGTCTTCTAAATAAATTAAAAATATACTCTACTATTAAGTAAACAGAAAAATCTTGAAGCAAATAATGTACTTACTGTTTTGTCACGTAGACATTTTTAATCTGGATGTTTAATCATGTGTAGAAATAATAAGAAAAAAATTATTGGCAAAGCAAATTGTAGAAATTTTAATAACGAAATCATAGTAGATACTTATAAAAAATAGCCGATAGGTCTGTTTTTTTTAATATTCTTTAATTTTTTATACCGTATTCTACAAAAATACCATTTTTAATAAAACCGCAATAAATTTTATAGAAGTTAATTTATGTGACATTGATAATAACTTAGTTTTTATTTTAAGATTAAGGCAAATATTATTAACTTTATCGTACCCTTATCTTAAGCATGAATTATCCGCATAATGTTTTATTAACAGGAAGTTACCCCATTGATTAATTTTTTTTTGCCTTATCGAATCTTTTTGTAACAACATACTAATCTTACAAGTTTGCTTTTAAAAGTCAGTTCAGAATTAAGAAGTAGTAAACTTTTATGTAATAGCACTGTTCGAGCATTCTCATTTATTGCCGATAGAAATAACAAATTCATTACGCTGATGCATTCTATGCAAAAAAATACAGAAATTAATTTACTTATATACCAAAGACTTGACAATTATATAGACAATATTTAGTACTTTACTGATAAAAGAGCAACAAAACATTGTACACATGCTACGATTTGTTATAAGTCGTATGAATTCATCCAACCAATGTAATTTTTACCATCAACACAATGTGCTTTATATAAACAATAGTTGCTGATGATTTTTCCGTAAGAAGATGCATATGATTGAACAATGACTTAATTATATTTAAAAATAATCGTGATCGAAGACGGGCAACAAGTGCATCAAGTGTTTCACCTCAAATTTCTCGTTCTATGCTTCGTGAGATCAAAAAATCCGTGTCAGATGAGTTCTTAACTTCTGATTAGCGTTTTCTCCTAGTCGTTAATTTTAGGTAATGTTCATTATGTGTACAAATAAGTACACAAAGGATATAATTAGATGTAAAAATTCTGTTAGCCAAAACAAAGTGATTAATCCAACATACCTCAGTACCAAACCACCTCTGTATAAAGATTCAGGGTGCTGAGAAACATTTCAAGTAACCTTGAATTGAGTTTTTATTCTGCAATTATTTTTGATGAAGTTTATAACTTTAGTAATTTTTTTTATATCTAACCATTTGTGGGAAAAACTCATTCAAAGGTTCAAATGTGTATTAAAAGTTATTGAACTGAGTACTTTGAACATAATGCCTAGAGTCCTCTATATTTTATTATATCATTTATTTTCCTATTAATTTTATTCCTCTTTCGATATATATTTTTTAGCCAATCAAATCAGTCATTTAATAAAATTACACCCTGTACTTTTTTTAAGAAAACATTTTGGTACTTTTTACACCCAAATATGACTCACCCTTTATATTTTTAGTTGGTTAAGTAGTTTTTGTTGGTACATTTCAATGTATTTAAAGTTACCATAATCTCCTCTAATATTACGAAGCAAAGCTACTACGCTTTTAGCTTTTGACTGTGGCTTGTTAATGAATTGAGATGTGTTGGAAAAACTTGTGTGAACATATAAGTAAGTACTACCATTCAAATGTACATTTCCTTATTTCAATTTGTTTACGTCATATTATTGTTCAGGCGATTGTTCCGATAGTTGTAAAACTTGTAGTGCGATAAATCGCAACGCGTGTGCGTTGGGCTTAAGCAACAAATTGTGGCAAAAATAATTACACAGGTCAACAAGGATCAAGAAGCAGACACACTAATATGCATTCCCAAAGGATTTTGGTGCGCTGAATCCGAATCTGACCGCAGAATTGCTCTATCACGTCAGGTTTTTGAGATATCCTAACCTAAAAGTGCAAAAAACATCGTTTTTCGTCATATTTGGGGTAATGTAGTAATGCCATCTATTCTTTAAAAAAAATACATATAATTTAAAAGTACAAGGCTCCCTCTTTCGAATGCCGTTGAGTTTGCTCAAATATCTTTTTTTTTTTCGTTGAGTTATCACATGTTGAAATTTCTAAGTTTATCAATTTCTTAATATGCGAAAATCGACTAAGGATCCCTTAGACGTCAAACAGTTGATTGCAGTTCAGAAACTTCATACTCAGAAACCATCAATACCTACATACGAACTCAAACTCACAAACTCCAAATGCACAAACCCACAATCCCTAAATCCATGAACCCCAATCCCACAAAATCCGAACCTACAAACTATAAGCTTACAAACCCCAAGCCCACTAACTCCAAACCCACAAACCGTATGGGTATGAAGTTTCTGAATTGCAATCGACTGCTTGATGTCTAAGGGATCCTTAGTAGATTTTCGCATATTAAGAAACTGAGAAAATTAAAAATTTCAACATGTGATATCTCAACGAAAAAAAAAAGATATTTGATGAAACTCAACGGCATTCGAAGGAGGGAGCCTTGTACTTTTAGATTCAAAATATTAGTTTCTTGAAAAGAATAGATGGCATTACTACATAACCTCAAATATGACGAAAGACAGTGTTTTTTGTACAACCTGACGCGATAGAGCAATTTTGCTGTCAGATTCGGATTCAGTGCACCTAAATCCTTTGGAAATATATATTCAAGTTTCTGCTTCCAAAAAAAAAAGTTAAATTTTGTTGGTATGTGTTATCTGAAACGGTAACGGTATGTCACATTATTTCTTATGAGTCTATTTATGGTAGAGTGTTATACATTAGCAACCACACAAAATAATCTTTTAATATATAACTTTAAAATTAAATCAGGCAATAAGAATTTTATACATGTTAAAACACGGTGGGCTATTTAAATCGGATAACGTATCTTGCAATCGACCATTTTCATTCTCTTATCAGTTTTAATAATGTTTAGATATGCCAGAATGTGTGCAAACTAATTTTGAGTTAAAAAATAGTTTCAAGAATCGGAATGTTTTAATTACTGTAACCTAGATAAAGAAAAATATAAATAAAAAGGAATCTTGTGCATGATTGAAGTGCTTTTCCACTTAATTCTTAAATTCCTAGTCTTTCAAGTTATTATAACTGACTCTTTGATTGGAGCTTACATCAAAAACAAAATTGACTTGCAAGACAATTTTGTAAAGAAAATTACCCGTGCTGAATTTTGAATTGCCATCGCAGTTTCTTCATTTGTTTTGTAGTTTTTGAGTTTGTATTTCAATACGGCATATCCAATAATTATTACGACCTATATGAGAGAATGGAAACATTTTCGTACGCAAAACGGTTTCCAACTTAACTTACCCCACAGCATATTAGTGTAACAGAATGACATCGACACCCAAACTTTAACTTACCGCCTGTGGTTTTTTGGTAGGCCTAACTGGTGGTCTGTGCACACCATTAATTTTATGGTACAAACCACACGCATTACAGAGATAATGACCGGTACCGTCTCTACGCCAAAGGGGGGTAACACTAGCGCCGCAATTTACGCACTCTTTCACTAGTACCTCTTGGCTTGCTGTTCGATGAGGCTGGGCATCCTCCATGGTGCCGTGCGACCAGGTGGCGTTTGTGTATCCCGTATAAGTTTGAGTGCTGTCCGGCTGGTGTAAACTAATATTCATGTTGGTACTACCCTGGTACTGTTGGTACGAGGCGTTGGTAGGGGTCCAGTTTGCAGTGCTGTTGTAATATGTGTCTCCAGGCTGGATCAGATTCACCTGAGATTGCTGCTGAGAACTAGATACATCGAAGCTGTTCTAGAAAAAACAAATGCAGGGTGTCCCGTAAAGTATGTTAAGAACTTTGTGCGGCGACAGCACATAAAAAGATATGACTAAAAATTTTGGTCAAACTAACCTTTTAAACTGACCGCCTTGCAATTATAGGCGTTGAAGGGTACAATTATGGGCGTTAAAAGCTGCTATTACAAAAGTAGTTTTTTTTTGGAAAAAAAAAACATAATTAAATTTTCAGGGCCTATGCTCAATGAGGTCGATAAATGATCTGAATAATACAAATAAGCTGGGGAGTATGGAAGGGCCATTTTGATCACCCTGTATCCTACTTTTTACTATTTTTTTCTATCATGGCATAACGAATATCGCAAGTTGAATTTTTTTTTGGGTTTTGTTTTATTTGTCTGTAAAATGTTTTGGTATGTTTTAGCTTAGCTTACTCAAGTATTATTTAAAAATACAACCTATTACCGAAAAGAATGTTTCATTAAACAACTGAAACTAAACAGATTTATTGAATCGCAACAAATCTTATTACAATAAATGTTGAAATAAACCTCCTTCTACTTCGATACTTGCTATCTGAAAGATTAATTAATTATTTCTGATCAAATTAAATGCATTGTATTGTCAGTCGATCGATCGCGGTGGTCAAGTCATTGATACATTATATCCTCTTCCAAATTATCGGTTAGGAAAATGCATATGAAAATATTGTCTGGCATGAACGTTAGAACTCGCAGGTATTCTACGTGTCCCAAACAGCGTCTTAAATTTAAAGGGATATTTTCCATTAACTCAAGAAGGTGGTTTTCTAAAATATTTTAAATTTTGGAGGCAGAAAGAAGAATCAGCAAATGGTCATCTAGAATACCACTCCCCTAGAATCGGTAATAGAAGGAATAAATTCTAAATTGTATTAATGGTGGTTGACCATTCGACAGAAATCTAGTTGTCGGAGAAGTTCTTCAGCCATTAAATGTTGTACTGTTGTACTCGATACGGTAAGAGTAAAAGACCATTAAAAAAATACGCCAGTGGCATTCTAGAAAGGCGCAATTCGTTAGCTTTCCTCTGTGCACTAGATTTCGATCTCAAATTTCGTTGACCTTTTAATTTTGGTAATCTTCAAACAATTCTACCACAAGTTATGTAATGGGATAAATACTACGAGATTCAATAATTTTGTGAATCCTGTGCATCAACAAAATTGAAAATTTGCGCACTCAGCAAGAAATTTAACTAACAATCTGATGAATGTCAATTGTAGTAAAATTGACATGCCTCTAATTTTTGAATACGTTATATTTAACACCTAATAGCGGTGATCAAACACAGTTTTGCTTTCATAAATTTACTAAAAAAACTAAACATTTTACATAAAAAATTTAAGATGAAAGAACTTTCTAAATTTAACAGCTTTTGCCAGTATAGCAATTTTTTTAAGCAAAATAATAGGACAGCGGATGACCAAAAAGCACCCTTTCGGACTCCTGATTGTATTCATATTATATTCACATTATTTATATGGCCTTGATATGATTAGTCTTTGTAAAATTTCGTAGTTTTTTCTCCAAAAAAGTGACGTCATAAAAAAACTACTTTGTTAATTTTTAAAACTGCAAGAAGATGCATTTAAAAGGTTAGATTTTTTATGCCAGCCAACAAAATTTGCAACATACGGGACATACATCCCGTTGACACTTTTCCAAACATATTTCCTACTGCGATTTGAAATTTTAAGAAATAAGATCGTGATCCAATTTGATACGCACTTTATATTGCTGCAACTAATTTTTGTTTACTGGGACTTTGTGATAAATTTCAAATGATCAAGGTATTTTGTAAAGAATGAAACTTGTTTTTTAAATATATACATAATTATTTTCCACATACTGGGTATCTAAACAAGTTTACATATCTAAGTAGAACGTATGTAAACATATGAATGTTTGTATGTTAATTATTATTGAAGTATAATACTGAAAACTTCAATCGAGCTTTAAAAAAGACCAAAATTACCACAATTCCTTGCGATTTGTCTCAAATATGCTGTGCTTCCAAATCTTATACACTAAAATATTGCGATTTCTTTATCTTTTATATTGCCACCCTTTTTAGAGAAATTGTGTTTTTTTGTTTATTTGTCTGTTTGTAATAATTTAAATGGACTTTGTAGACATAAACGTGTGACTTCAAGAAAAGCTAATAAATATTTCTCATTAACAATGAGAAATAATTGATATTTTGCAACACTATTATGATAAAATTCATCCTAGTTTTTCTTTGAAAGTCACTTAGTATTTGATAAGATAATGTGTCCTCAAAATGTTTCACATGTAAACCTGTTTATCAATTTCCTAAATAAACTGTGATTATAAAATTTGTTTTTAATTCCTGCCATAACTTCAGAGGCGTGTTCCTTGGATGGCTTTAATATTACACTTTAAAAGTCTAATATATACACTGTTTTCCAAAGTACAGAATGTTAAAATTAAAAAAATATATATCACATATTTTCAAATATGCCTGCAGATGTTTTACGCACATTGATGAAACTAAAGCTACCGGTTGGCACTGTCACTGAAACACTAAAATTTCTACGCCACTGAGTTCTTTTGGAAGGAGGTTTATCGGGTACGGATGTACGTCTAAAGTCTAACGAAAGTTTCTGTAGATTCGCTAGTGACTAAAGTAACAAGCCTTTTTCGGCTCGGTGTTCGCTCGCTCCCATTCGATCATTCTGTTTGTTTCGACACCTGCGAATTTCAAATAATACGTTACGTCGAGACCACGGCGTTGCCGCTATTACGCATATGGAGGATAAGTTAGTCAACGACAGCAGTTTGAAGGAGAATTATTATAAATTATGTATCTTACAAGTACCTAATCGATTTCTACGAGCTGTCATACGGTTCCTTAGATATCGGTTTTCTATTTATACAAGTTGCTGTGGAAACTGTTCGTCAATTGTTGCGCATTCTAATTGGAAAGACCAAATTATTTAGAGTCAACTTAGCACATAGTTCAATAAATCGAAAATAACTTGTGTATACAAAAAATATTTACAGGAATTTTCTCTTCCAAATAAAATGTAAAAAGTAAAATAAAATCTTTGCCGTAAAATATTAATTTGTCTGAAGAACAGCATGGATACATAACCATTTTTTTGTAAATCGAAAATATAATAATCAGAGATATTTTAAGTGTATCCAATTGTGTAACAAGCTTATTTTAAACTTAAAAAGATATATATAACAACTCAATATTTCAAATAAATTAAAAGACGTCTTATTTTATTGAAATATATTTATTAATCAGATGCTCGTCACAAACTTAAAAAATACGTAGTGGCATAAATATTCTGGGGATTTCATTGGCAATGCCTCGTGATATCTCCGCCACTGGTTCACATATTTGTATACCAACGCATTGAATTTTTACCTTTATTTAAGTAAGCCCAAGTTTCATCAATCTATGTAAAATATCTTCAGAGTTATTAAAAAATGTTATTCTCGGAAAACAGGCTTTAGCCCCTGTTTCGCTAACACATTTGGCCCAAAATGATCGAAGGAATACGTCCCTGAACTTACGACATAAACATAAAATACTTTTCGCGTGTACCTAAACCTTTACAAATTAATATAGATAACTACAATATTTACACAAGTGGGTTGCCACTTATCCAAATACTTAAACGTTTTACTTAATTCTGTAATTTAATAAAAATATCAGTATATCAAAAAATAAGCAATAGAAATCTAGGTAATACATTTATATCATTATTATACAAGTTGGTAATATGCTCTTAAAACTGAACAAACAATTTTTCTCGATGTTTAAAAAAAGTGGAAAATTTTTATAATCGTTAACAAATAAATCTTTAAAAATAAAATACGAAAAATTAATGACAGTTGTTAAAAGTTTTTACTTAAATCACAATTTAAATGCTGATCGTCAACGTCTACGTGATGAGGCTTGAAGGCTTTCAAACCTGATGCAATATAGTTCAAAATTTTGACCACCTGAACGATATTAGAAACATACTTCAACGGTTCTTTATATATTAAGTAAAAACTCAAAACACATAAAAGTTTTGACGGGAAATAGTTTTTCTAAATTTGCAAGGAAAATTATTTGTGCCGTCAAATAATTAATTGTCTTTAATGTTGAAATTTCTCAGATCCCTCCTAATTCAAATGCCACTTTTTGTTCAAATTTACATGTAAGCAGTTACTATGAAAAAAAAATTCTGAAATTAATAGCTAGCATTGGGCGACCAGGCCGCGGCTTCTGGTATGTATTTCATATACAGTGATTCACTCATAATGCTGTTAATTTTAACCATGTATTCGGAAGGTGAGATAAAGACAGAATATCGAAAAAAAATTTTTACCCCTTAACTCCCGTTAACTCGGCGCTCTACTTTGAATCACGTGCTGACTGGGAAACGCCAGCTCACGACAGGAAACAACTGATTTCCCAATCGTCTTACAGTTGGTTTCAAAATCAAAGTACAGTGGTCCCAACTTAACAAAGTGTTATGGACGAATTAATGTATTTTTAACCACACCAATAAGGTATACGTACTACAAACTGAATAATTAGTCGAACATAATACTAAAAACTCATATTCAGTTATAAAACATAGTGAAAACGTTGAACTAAATTACAATAACCTAACATTCGAAAACAGTTATTATCCTTATACATTTGTTTTAATTGACAAATAAATAACACTTATTGATATTTAAAATGTAAAAAAAATCTTATTCATTCATGTGTCTAGGTAAAAAAGTCAAGCTAGATTAGTGACCGAATATGATAGGTAAAGATTCACTCAGCGGTTAAGAGTGGCCCGAAAAGGGGTATTCTATTCATTTTTCCCTATCTTCCCTTAAAATTAATAACATTATGAATGAATGACCCTGTATAAGCAGCCCGCACTAGAGCTCACTCCCAATATACGAGATCTGTTCAGAAAATAACTGAACTGTTTGAATTACGCGCTAATGGAGATT